TCATCAAACAATCGAAATGGTTCAAACAAACAATCATCATATAATAATCAACAATCAGGTGGAATGGGAAAATCTAGACAATATCAAAATCGAAATAGTACTACACCATCACCGGGTACAAATATCAATAATTCGATTGTTAATCAAACAAATACTAATGTTCAACAATCGACTACCGATTATACTGGATCTGGATCTAATACTGGTGGTGGTCAAACAACAACTACAACAGCAACTGCTACCGTAAAAGAATGAAAAAATAGATCTCATGATATCTATTCATGGTTACAAATTACAAAAAGATATAACCTTACTTACACACACATACTTGCACTTTGACATTCAAGCATTTCAACAAAAGATGATATTCTTTTCGTGATGTTTATTATATGTGTGTTTGTGTGTGTGTGTGTATGATATGATAACTGATAACCTGTGTATAATAGATTTGTGAATAATATTGATTCTTTGAAATTGATTCACACACACACAAACCAAACACACGAAACTTACAAACAAGCTGCTGCTGCTATTGTTTTTTTCATATATATTTAAATCTGGATGTGATTTTTTCTTCTTTCTTCTACATTACACTTAAACAAAAAACAAAACAAAACAAGAAACCAAACAACAAAAATGTTGATGATGATTTACTGCTACCATTATTACTTGGATGATTATAATAATGATGATTATGTTTCCTTTTTTTTTCTTCTTCTTTTTCTTATTATTCTATTTGCTTAAAAAATTTTTAATTAATAATAATAATAATAATGATGATGATGATTATGATTCTTGATTGATTCGATTCGATTTTGATTTTGTTGCCATCATCGTTACAATCAAACCAAACAAAATGATTTGTTACCAGATTACAAACAACAAATTGATTACAAAACAACCAATTTTTCATTTTGGAATTTAATTATTTTATTTTATTTTTATTTTATAATTATTATTATTATATGATGATGATGTGATGGATAGATTTCTTTTTTTTCATTCTTTCTTTCTGCAAATAAATAAAATGTAAAAGTATTATCATTATTATTGAAATATATGAAGAATCAACCATAGGTCAGACCCGATGTTGTTTTTATTTTTTCTCCCGGTTTCGAATGTTGTTATTTCTATTTCTACTTGATAAGTTTCTTCATGCGTGTTCATCATTTGTGTAATTTATTCAGGTTTTTGTTTTCTCGTCGCCTTTTTTTTGTAGAATAATAATGTGTCGATTTCCGTCAATTTTATCTTCATCATCATCATCAATAGATTTTTCGGGTCGGATATTCTTTCGGTAAATATTTAGTATACTATAGGAAATGGGATTTTTTGTTTTGGAGGATGTCTGGGTTTGTTTCAGTGTGTGTTTTTTTTTTGGCCATAGGATTATATGTGACATTTTTTTTCTGTTTGAGAAAATTGAGCATTATATTTTTCTTGACAATGATCATTGATGACAAAATCTTTTTTTCCAAGTTTTTTTTTTGAAATT